TGATATATACGGGTGGCGGGGCTCTGTCCCGCCCGTATCGGCCAGGCGCTCTCGGGAGGTCGCGATGGCTCGCACGAAGCAGACGGCGCGCAAGTCCACGGGCGGGAAGGCCCCGCGCAAGCAGCTGGCCACCAAGGCGGCCCGCAAGAGCGCGCCGGCCACCGGCGGCGTCAAGAAGCCGCACCGCTACCGGCCCGGCACGGTGGCGCTGCGCGAGATCCGCCGCTACCAGAAGTCCACGGAGCTGCTGATCCGCAAGCTGCCCTTCCAGCGCCTGGTGCGCGAGATCGCGCAGGACTTCAAGACCGACCTGCGCTTCCAGAGCTCGGCCGTCATGGCGCTGCAGGAGGCGTGCGAGGCCTACCTGGTGGGGCTGTTCGAGGACACCAACCTGTGCGCCATCCACGCCAAGCGCGTCACCATCATGCCCAAGGACATCCAGCTGGCGCGCCGCATCCGCGGGGAGCGGGCCTGAGCCTCAGCCACCCACTCATCTACAAAGGCTCTTTTCAGAGCCACCCACAGTTTCACTTAAAAGGGTTGTAACTTGGCTGTAGGTTTCATTTGCTGAGACTTAAATTAGAAAAGTAGGTAAATAGCTGTGTTTTAGTATTAAGCACTTAGTTAATGTGCTGTTAGCATGCACGTTGACATGTGTGACTTAGTGACTTCTGGAATGCAGCCCAGCCCATTCTGACATTCATACACTAAAGGTGTCTTCTGTACAGGAAATAGAGGCCAAACTTAGCTTTTTATTGGATCTGAATTATCCAAGGAATTTTTTCTAAGATAATTGTAACCTTTTGTTTTTAACCTTCAAACATTGATTCCATTTTATCCTGACCAACTGAATTTACAGCATTCGATTGAGTTTTCATTTGTACAGACCCCTGACCCAGCTGCCCTGTCATTCCTGCCTCGAATCCGATGTGATGCAGCTAAGTCTTACAGCAGCATATGGTCCCCAGCAGTCCACAGGACATTCGCGTCTGACTCCAGAATTCAGTACTGGTCTCTGGGACATGGGACTGTAGCTCAGGCCATACAAACTGACCTCCTCACCGGAAGTCCAGTAAACAAATTTATGTAACAGGAAAGAGAGGACTAGCCTATCACTTCCCAAAGTTCCTTTGTCCATGCATCTTAAAATCAGTGGGATTTAAGATGCTGACTATGTCAACATAACAAATGACTAAACCTGTAGAGAATCTTTATTGTAAGAGTTGGAGCCAAAACTGACAACTCAGGCCAGGAGCAAGATCTCGAATGCTCCCAAGAATGAGTTTTGCAGTTGCTTTTAGCGTTTGAAGTTCCAGAGCGGACGCTGGGGAGACGACTAGAAGGTGGGAAATGGGAGTTGAGGCCGCCTGCTCCCTGAGGAGGGGTCTTCCATCTCGGAAGGGGTCTGCAAGCGGGCATTTCGAGGGCTTGTTGACCTAGATGCAGGAGGACAAGGGCTAAGGCTTGTATAAGGTGAAGCCCAGGAGTTAAGACCCCTCAGAAAATATCTTCGGTTAATAAAAGGTAGTTCGAATGCTAGTTTGGACTACCAGCCACAAGAAGTCACGCAGCTCCCGGTTAGCCATTACAGAAACGGGCCTGGGGCCTGTTAGACGGGGGGAAAAATAAATCACCAAGACAGCAGAAATAGTAATGGTATACGGCGAGTGACGTCACAAAGTGTATAGCCGCTACCTCTGCAGGTCGAGATAACCTAGCAATGTGCGTGAAGATGTTCTCCAGCCTACAAAGTGCACAACCAGCTGAAACTGGGGGTCCTGGTCTGATGCATGATTTTGATTTCATGCATCGCCCCAGCTCTCTCGGTTCAACGGTTTCTTCCCAGCATGCCTCGTAAGCCTCAGCCCTTCCCTTACTGGTCATGTGCCCCCGAGGCAGCCAGAAACAGTGGCCCGGCCTTAACCAGGGTCACAGGTCTGAGTTTCTGCTAAGCTGAGCTGACTTGATGGCCTGAGCTGTATTTCAGCTCCTGAGCCCTCATGCAGAATGACCCGCAGGCCACGTCCTCCCGAAACTGGACGAGGGACTCTGAAGCTGACCTCAGGCCTGAAATTATGAATCGCTGCCCTCACCTCACTCTTGAACAATCAGCAAGACTCACGACCCTGAACCCCTTACTCACGATAACTTGTGACTTTTGCTCTCTAAAGCCCCTTGTCTGTGAACCGGGGTGTGTGTGTGTGTGTGTGTGTGTGGTGTGTGCGCACGAAGATTTCACCACCGCAAGTGGCCTGGGCTCTGCTGCGGAGCACTGTACAGTAAACACCACTTTCTGTCACCACACCCCGGTACCGGCATCGCCCGCCATCTGCCCCGCTGGGTGGGCCGCTCCGCTCAGTTACAGATGCCGGGGAGCCTTTGCTGGAAAGTTACAGGCTTGGGGTGTGCCTGGCACCGTGGCCGGCCCAGGCAGGGAGCTGCGATTCACTACACACCCCTTCTCATCCACAAACGCTAGCAACTGTAGAGCTGCTCTCTCTCTCTTTGACCCATGACCCCCTTTAATAAACACAAAAACATCAATTTAAGTGTTCCTATCTTAGTATATATGCTGCTGAAGCGAGCACAATGTGTTTGTTTTTTTAATTTCCCAAATATAGAAGGATAATATGACTGATGGGGTAGACCAAGCTTCCTGAGGCCTAAAGCTTACACTACCGGCGACCCTCAAAGACTGGGATGCAGATTTACAACATTACACAGTGAATATGCATTTAAAATGGGAAACTAAATCAACCGTGGATAAAAATGGGGTACTATGGAAAATAACCCCACAGGGCGATGTGATCAGTTCTTACCGCTGCAGGCCGCGGAGGGCAGTCTGGCCTGGGCCTGTAGCATTTCAGTAAAAGGCTCATATGTGCCTCAAGCGCGCCCCGCCTCCCCAGCCCTCTGACTCCCAGGTTCACACGCCTTAGAAACACCCCCTTTCGGGCAGGCCCCTCCTCCGGAAGCCGACCACCCCGGAGAGCACAGGGTCTAAACTAGCCTGATCGCCGATCCCCACCTTCATGTCATCTTCCGAATGCCCCCTCCTTAATTTCAGATGCATAAAAAAAAATAATAATAATAACTGCAATATCGTCACTCTCCAGAGCATTTGAGGTCTTGCCGGGCAATATTGTCAGTTTGGCTCAAACTCATACAAATTCTCTCCTGGTTTGGACGTTTCTCGTGTCAGCACTACTTTTTTTTATCTACCAGGTCTCTTGGTGTCCAAGAAGGAGGCCCCAGCACCTAACATCATGTGCCCTGTTTTTATAACTCAGTTTCAGTTTTCGACAGAAATATTTCGATTTCTTCAAATTGACCCAATGAAATCTAGAACAATCGACCATCGTTTCAAGTCAGACACCCTTCCTCCCCAAATTCTAGTCCTCGGAAGACAGTACATATCAAGATGCACTGGCATTCAAGCCTTAAAACGAGGATGAGGGCACAGAACAGGACATTTGAGACCAGCGGGCATTCTAGAAAGTCGCCCACGTTGCCATGAGCCACAGAACGCTAGCAAAATGCTTGCGACGGCCTCGCAGGAACTGAGAGATGTGCCAACGACATCACATGAAAAACAAAAAAGAACGGAAACTCTCATTAATAATTTCACATCTAATGATAACATTTCAGACGTATTGGGTAAATAAATCGTATTATTAAAATCGAACCCACCCGTGCCTCCGCTCCGTATCTGTGTGGCTGCAGACAGCACTGTTCTGGGGGTTGATTCGCTCATGCGGACACCTGGGCCTCTTCCCTGCGCACTGCATTGGAAGCCAGCCCTCGAGGAGGCCGGCAGATCTGGCTGCCACTCCCAGCAGCACCAGAGATGAATAATCTGAGAATAAAGGGAATAGGAAATGTGAAGATGTCGTTGGAGAAAAATGCAAAATGTTTGAACAGATGGAAAAACATGAAATGTTCTTAAATATGAAAACTCATCTCCCTAGATGAATTTATAAAAAATAACACAATCCCGATTAAACTGCCAATAGGGTGTTGAGGGTTTTTTGTATGTGTAATGAAGGGGTAACTGTGTGTTGGGGGGGCACATGTTAAAATATACATGGAAAACAATAAATAATCAAATGGGAGAGAGAGAGAGAGAGAGAGAAAGAGAGAGAGAGAGAGAGAAACAGAGAGAGAAAGAGAGAGAGAAAGAGAGAGAGAGAAACCAGAAAATTCTCAGGAAAAAAATTAACTACAGAGAATTAGCCAAAAAGAGAACCAGGCAATTCTGAAAAAGATCATGAGAGGGAATTGGCTCTGTCGGCTGTTAACGCCATAATACAGCATCTCAGTGTATGCGACATCCCACTGTTCTTTGAATACCTGCTGTGGCTCACGTACTCTCTCCAGCATCGAAGACAGCGCTGTGAACAGTACTTCCAACGGCGCGACCTCACCTTGGGAGCAGCCAGGACGATCAAAGAACAAAACTGACAACCAAAAATTAGGCCACCTGTCCCTGGAATTTAGCTTGTAAATAAAGGTGGCATCTCAAGGGAGGGCGAGTGGCGAGAGGGAGCAGAATGGAGGCGTTAAGAAACGGTCTTGGGAGGAAAATATCCATCTCTCCAAAAATTCTCCACACATCCCTATCCGTAAACTTACACTAAAACAGACGGCTCAATGATTTTAAATGTAGAATTAACCACACGAAATTACTGAGAGAAACCATGGGAGCACCGTCCTCCGTGCGTATCACACTCAAGGGAGGGGAGGTTTTTCTATGCGTGATTATAAAGAAAACGAGGCTCGAGCCCGCTCGATCCGTCCTCGGGGCAGATGGGCTCAGGGGCCACCGCCGCGCACGCGGGAGGGAGCCCACAGCGCCCTCTCGTGGGGGCGCTCGGTGAAGACGTGGGCAGTGGGGTCCCCCGAAGCCCGTCCCTACACTTGTCTAGAGAAAAACCTGCGTCCAGCTGAACACAAACAGGTCGCCTTACTTTTCCGCCTGGGAGAAACGCGGTGAATGTGAAAGAATCCGCAGATGACAGTCAGTGAAAACTAAACCCCTTTATTGGCGCAGCGAGACACACAGATCCAAGAATTTACCGATATATATATATTTTTTTCCGTCACGTACAAACATTCAGACTGCACAGAAAGTGCGCTCGAAGCGCCTTCGCTTTTTAGATGTTTATCTGAAAGGAGGACCGGGGACCGCCCTGCCGGGCAAGATGGCGACGAAAAGTTGTTTGTGATGCGCTCGGGTCCGTCACAGCGCGTCGAGTTACAGGGTCCGTACGAGGGACAGGAAGACCCCGGGGTGGCCGAGCCCTGGGTGGCAGCCGCTCTCCGAGTGCGCTCCTTTGTCGCCAGGCAAACGGGAATCAGAGGAACGCGCGCAAAGGCGCGCGCGCCCCTCCTCGCAGGGCCGGACGCCTCCGACGTCCCCTGGACACCCCCGACTCTCGAAAACACATAAAGTGTCCCACATACCATACACGTCTGTATCGAGTGAAAAAAGCAAACGATCCAACGAAACAAAACATAGTGACGGAGAGCGGGCCACGGCCCAATTAAATCTGGGGTGGAAACCAAGGGCTGCAGGGGAGCGCCAACCCGCACGCAGGCGGGACTTTTGAACAGTTTTTCAGCCTAATAGTGACATCGCTGCAGACTCAGACACCGGCTGGCTTCACTAGTGGTGGCTGTTGTCCCCAGGCGTGGGGCGGGGCCGCCGGGCGCTTCCGCACAGCAGGCCCAGGGGCTGACGCGACCCCCCCTCCCCCCATTCCCCTGCCGGCGAGGGACAGTCCCGACTGTCACCCGCAGCAGCCACTCTCCAACCCCCACTCCTGTTCTGGGAGGTGCCAGCAGCCCCCCCCTCCCAACGAGGCCCTGGAGACCCTGCCTCAGAAAAGTTAAAGGGGAGAGGGGGCGGGGCGGGGGACGGGGGAGTGCGCAGCTCTGTCTCTGAGATCAGTGGTGGCTCTGAAAAGAGCCTTTTTTGGGGAGTTTTCGAAGCAGACGCGCAACCACCTACTTCTTTTTGGGGGCAGCCTTCTTAGGCTTGGCAACCTTGGGCTTGGCGGCCTTGGGCTTCACAGCCTTGGCTGCGCTCTTGGCGACCTTCTTGGGCTTGGCCGCCTTCGCCTTCTTCGGACTCTTGGCCACCTTCTTGGCCACGGCGGCCGCCGCAGGCTTCTTCGCCTTCTTCGGGGTCTTCTTGGCGCCCTTCTTGGGGGTGGCCGAGCCCGCCGCCTTCTTGGGCTTCTTGGCCGCGCCGGCAGCCTTCTTGGGCTTGGCCGGGCCGGCCTTCTTGGCCTTGGGCTTGGCCTCGCCGGGGGCCGCCTTCTTGTTGAGCTTGAAGGAGCCCGAGGCGCCGGTGCCCTTGGTCTGCACCAGGGTGCCCTTGCTCACCAGGCTCTTGAGGCCCAGCTTGATGCGGCTGTTGTTCTTCTCCACGTCGTAGCCGGCGGCCGCCAGCGCCTTCTTGAGCGCGGCCAGCGACACGCCGCTGCGCTCCTTGGAGGCGGCCACGGCCTTGGTGATGAGCTCGGACACCGGCGGCCCGGACGCCTTGCGGCGAACCCCCGCGCCCTTCTTGGCTGCCTTCTTCTTCACCGGGGCCTTCTCCGCAGGGGGCGCGGCGGCGGGCGCGGCAGGAGCGGTTTCCGACATGGTGGCGAGCTGAGACTCAGGGACAAGTGGCGAAGCGCCGGTGCAGCTGCGCGGGCCGCCTTCGTATATATAGAGCGCAGGCGCGCGCTGATTGGTGCTCCCGCCGCCCTCGGCTGGCAGGCGCCGAGCCGCTGCCGGGCGCCCAAGTTGTGTTTGTTCCACTGCAGAAAGGGGCGAAAATATTAAAATGCGCCGCACCGAATCGCCGGCCACGGTCGGGAGAGAACCCGAGAGGCCTTGGGCTTCGTGCTCCGCATTTATTTTTCCCTCAAGTGCAAAGATAGCGCGTCCAGGCGTCCCCAAATCCCCCAACTCCGGGCGAAGCCCACGGCAGTCGGAGGCCACTTTCTGTTTTTCTCCTAAATTACCTGTTCGCTCCTTTGCCCCCGAAAGTTCTTTTTCTCAGGGGCGGTTGGGCACATGCTTGCCTTCTTTCAGGAACGAAAACGAAATGGTTTCCACTTAAATTTTCACGATAATTCTATTTCTTTGCAAGGGAAGTAACACAGGTCCTCTCTGAATTCTGCGTACAGACCCACAGGACCTGCGGCGGTGGACAGGGTTCCCGGCCCAGCCCAAAGCAGGCAGGAGGGGTGGGAGGCGGGTTCGTAACCCCTGGGCGGGGGTGTGTGTGGGGGTCCTGGATTGGGGAGCGTTAGACTTAAACCTTTGAATTGAAGACATGGACACTCTATCAAATCCCTCTTTTCATGATGGGGGTGGGGCGCTCTCCTCACTTTCCAAAGGGAGAAAGTGGGCTGTTTTTAAAAAGCTCTCAGGTTCCCCTCTGTGTTGTGCAAGGCAGGGGGTCTGGCCCTCAAGAATAGGGATTAGGGAAGAAGGGAGACCCCCTCCCCCGCAAGCCTGCAAAGAACCCCAATAGACTTGGCAGCTGAGGACATTGAGATGATCTGTTTTCAAGGAAAACAAGCGTTTGTTTATTATTCTACGCTCCAATAAAGAGATATATTTTAGCCCATGAAAATTCTAGGTCCCTTCCAGTAACAACATTAACAGGTGATGATACAGACAAACACCCTCTCACTGGGAACTCAGATAGACGCGGAAATGAAATAACTGACTTCAATAAACACTTTGACTCATCAGATGAACCAAAGATTTGAAACAGAAAAAAATGGATGGCAAAACTTAAAACAGAAACTGAGGGAACGTACTAGAACATATACATTATTTCGCCGTGTTGTCCTGATGAGCACCCCGCCTCTCGCCCCATCTAAAGCTGGCGGCGGGTATTCTGTTGTCAAGCTGGCTTCATGGCTACACGTTTTCCTTTAGTTCCAAGCAATTGCGATTTTTTTTTCTTGAAAGAAAACGCTGAATAAATATTCTGCTCATCTATTATAAGTGTATTTTATCTTTAGAGGCGAAGGAAGTATGACAATTCACCAGAAATTTCTGTTCAAACACACGTCTATGTATATTGCTAAACGTCAAAATGCAGCACAGTATTTTGCAGACCCCGTGGGATGACCTTGATCCTGAACCACAACCAGAAAAGTCTAACCAACTGTCAAGAAGAAACTGACATGTAATTAACCAAACTGTATCAGCGATGGCTAAGCCTCCCTTCCCAGAGACAGAGCTTTGAAAATGACCCCCCTGCCTCCTTTACTTATCCGAGTAAAACTAAAAACTTCATCTTTTAACAAGAGTGTTCCTTTGGCTCGGACACTCCCAGCAGCAGCCCCGTTGTGCTTGGTTACAAAGGGGCGATACGGATTATTTAAAGTCCAGCAGGGAATGAAAAACGAGGCATTGTCTTTTACACTCAGGATCACCCCGTGGTTTCATGGAATACGGTTTCTTCAACATTTGGAAACTGCATCTACTCCTTACTGATCCTGTCCCCTGGGGATTAACAGCCTAATAAGATTAGTGATGGGTGAATAAGCAGCCATTGAAAAACCACTGTAGACCTGCCTGCCTCCCACCAGTGTGACTTTGGTAAAGGAATGAATAAATTATTAAAGATGGACAAACAACCAAAGCACCTTTGTCACACGAAAGTATTTTGGTAAAAATAACATGAGAACGTGACACTCTGCTCTGGTTCTGTGTACAACAGGCCCCTCTCGTCAAACCCAGCTAAGCGCGCGTAACGAAGAGAACAGCCGCTGGAGTCTCGATTGCTGGGTTGCCGGACCGCTCTGGTCCCCTGGTTTATGAACCAGCAGCACGTAAATTTGATGACTGTGATTCAGTTCTCGAATGTGATCACTCAAGTTGAATCGATCACATCTGAAGTCCAGACCCCAGGTCATCGGACACCAGGTCCCTCCGCCCCCCGCCCCCAGTGTGATCCCACCCTCCTGACCATTTGGCAGAGGCCAAAGGCAGAGAAACAAGCAGCCCTTCTCCAGATCCCTGTGGCTCTTACTGAGAAGACTTACCCCAGACTTCAAAACGAGGCGAAAATCTCTCTTCACGTCCTTTCGGGCTATGTTAGAGTCACCTCGGCGCCCTGTGGGTCGCCGACGCCCAAGGCAACTATGGACAATGGAACAGAATGCGAGTCACATATACAATTTTAAGTTTTCTGATACCACGTTGAAAAAAAGTAAAAAGAAATGCATAACATTAATTTTAATACATTTTATTTAACTTGACGTATATCCAAACTATTATCACTTTAACGTGTAATCAATATTTTGAAAAATGGGATTGTCCACATTCCTTTTCCAGATGGTAAGTCTTCGCGGCCTGGCGTGTACTTTCCAGGCCTAGAACATTTCCGTTCAGGCTGCATTACAGGTGCTCGGCGGCCACCTGTGGCTAATTGGCGTCTCACGGGACAGCGCGGCTGTGGCGGAGGTGACTTGCCCTTCACGCTTACTTCTGACTCGGCCCAGAATATGTGCAATTAGGCGTTCACTGGTCAAAGATCGATAGGTTAATAAAGGTTTCTCCAGTAGAGATGCAAGTGGATTCTCTCCGGTAGAAAAGAAAACCCTAAAAAAAAAAAAAAAGTTACCATCTTACTGCTTAATGGAGCATTAGCCAATTTGGCGGACCGTTCAGCCTTCCAGCAGACTTTCTGTCCCTCACACTCTGTTCTGACCTAACTTTGTCTTCATCCGGGAACCACGCCTTGGCCCACACCTGAGCTCCGAGCTCGCTGTGCACAGTCCTGGTATCAGGCCTGTTTTTCTCTTTCTGAACTTTGAGCCTCCGCTCATCCTGAGGGCTCTTGGGAAACTGTTCTAAAGCGGAAGCTACAACACGTTTTGACCATCAGCTTTAAAGCAGCCTTAGACCCGGGAGGTGCCCCGTAGAGCCTCTGGCTTTGAAATAAGATTTACCGACAGCGCGACTGCAAAAAGCTCGTTAAAATGCGCTCCAAGGGAAAGTCCAGATTAAGGGTGATCTTTCCACTCAAAATGGACGTCCCCAAGACAGCCAGCCTGCAACTGAGGACAGTTAAATATTGCAGCGACGTAATTTGTGTGTTCTCACATGTCTGGGAAGCCGGTGGGCGAAGCTTAAGTGTGCAGAGCAGGATGTCCATTCCGAAAGGCTGTGACGGAGCCAGAGAAAGAGGCACATGGGGCCAGGAAGACACGGCCACGGGGCCAGAGCTGCTGGGTCGGGTGTCGGCTCGAGGGCGGCAGGGGTTTTTCTCACTGCCTCGTTCCTCCATGCCCGAATAGGGTTCTGTCCACTTTGCCAGGCAGCTAGCCCGGTGTTAATAAACCTTGTTACAGACCCCACTGGGAGCCATTAAAACCTTTTCTCCCTGGCTCACCGAGGGATGAGACGGGTAACAGCAGCCATGGCACCACATGCCTGCAGGTGGCCAGCGCGGCCGAGCCGATGATGCAGAATGCTTTCGAGGCCAGATCTCCCACTCACGGCGAGCGGGTGACCTTGCCAGGTTTTCAGCCGTCCCCAGGCTGATTTCCTCCTCTGCAAATGGGAGGATTAAATTAGGTCAAATGCACAGTGCTTGGGTCAGGGCCGACACAAAGTAGTCTCTTGTTTGAGGTTTATTCTCATTGGACCCCTGCTCCATGGGACCCTCCAGCTTTGGGCTGACCCTGAGGAAGGTGGTACTCTCCTTAGTTTGGAGGGCGGGCGAGAGTAGGTCAAGTCCAGCAAGCTGGGTCACTCCTTCCAGTTACGTGCGCTTCCCCTGCTGTCTCTGAAAGGTCACGGGACCTCGACACTGTCCCAGGGAAGTCCAACAGGAAGAGAGGAAGTTGGACCATCAGGAAAGGGAGGTGTGTGTGTGCGTGTGTGCACATGCGTGTGGAGTTGTAGGTGAGCACAGAACCCAGGACCGGCGCTGTCGCTCAGAAGCTACCCCACATCGCTCTGCTTGGAGCTCACTCCCTGGCCCCCGCTCGGTGGAAAAGATTATGGTGACAGTCACATCGTCATCCAGTCCCTGCCTCCTGCATCCCAGGGGTGTGCGTACCTTCAGCGTTAGGCAGGTGTAGCTGTCAGGGAGAACTGTGTGTCGCCAATACACAGGAGCGACCAAGGTACAGCCACGCCCTGTGTGTTTTGCTGCCGAACTTACCTAAACCTGCTTACGTCAGACAGATCTCTGACTGGGACCTAAGGATTCATAGTTACACTTCAGCTGATGCACAGATTTCTGACGCTCTCACGGTTGATGGTGATACCGCTTCTATGTTCCTCTTAGTTTTATTTTAAAAGTCCAAGAAAAATAGAGGCACCGTAAGGTGATTATCAAAAGGGCTGACCCGGAAGCTGGAATGCCTGGGTTTGAGTTCGCCAGCTCGGTAAACTTGGGCAAGTTAACTCACTTCTCTGTGCCTCAGTTTTCCGATCTATAAAGTGTCAAGAATGGCTCCTGTTTCATGGGTTATCATGAAAAGTAATGAGTTAACATTTATATAGTCCTTAAAACAGTACTTAGCATAGTGCACGTACAAAATTATACATTTACTACATATATACTAAGAGTTTTTAAATTGTATGCACATTCTAATAACTGCAATGTGGCACAGTTCTGACACCGTTGGCTTGAGCATCAGGAACACTAATAAGGTAACAGTGACCTGCGCACTTCCTGTGCCCAGGCGCCACATGCAGTCTCATTCCCTGCTCACCACCGTCTGTGACTACCACTGTGGCCACTACCGCTTTGCGGACAACGGCATGGACGCTGAGAACTCAGATTTGTCCTAGGGCATCTCTGCAGACTGATGGCAATTCATGTACTCTACACGCGCGCGTGCACACACATACACATTAAAATATGAACGGAAGTCAAAGATAAGACTCGTTTTTATCTGTAAGGTGCATAAGGTGAAAATACACCCTATTAACTGCCTGCTAATCCATCTAGTGAGTTTAAGGAGAAGGCTTTCACCCCAGCGAGGACATATGGGGCGGGGCGGGGGCGGGGCACACACCCTCCCTAAGGATTAAAGCTGTTTACAATACGTGGTGCTCTTTGGTCTGATGGTCACTAGATGGCGCTCCGAACAAACCGACGCCTTTTTCTTTATTTTTTTCAGAAGCTCTGTTCCAATTTCCCCTGACCTTTATGTAATCATTAATCTCTAGTTATACACTTTTGGCGAACAAAAATGATTATCTCCATCTGACATATGATGACCCCGAAGCCACTGGAAGCCCTGAGACCACAGTAGGCCCGCAGGCCAGCAAGAACACGGGAGAAACAAACAGTGCTTCCTGTCTGAGTGGCCTAGGAAAACCGAGACGGAGGACTCGGTTCAACACTGATGGCCCCCAACGTGCTGGGCTCAGGGAATGCGGGAGTAAATAGGACGGGCTCTGCTCTTACAGCTGGGTTTGGAGGCTGGGGACCTAGGAGAAGGTAACGGTGGCCGAGACGAAGGTCAGAGCGACCGTGAACAGGAGGAGACCGCTGGACTGAGTCCAGACAGAGACACGGAGTCCTACGAGGGCACCTTTCAAGATGCTAAATTACTTCTTATTTTTACACTAAAATGGCCATCATGAGAACGAAAGTGACAGGAGAAAAAGCTCTCGTGCGAAGAAAGGAGACCGCCCGTTGGCCTCGCCTGACAGGGAACAAAACCATGATGTTCCTGGTTATGGTCTGTCGGTCCTGACGACCATGACGACAATAATAAATCCACGAGACGCCGTGCACTGATAAGACTAAGACGATTTGAGGGGTTTGTGACTTTGCGGTGAGCCGAGGACCAACCCGGTACGTCGACTGCAACCCACGCGTGCACGCGCGCGCGCGCACACAGAACCCCAGGCGTGACTGCACTACCGTGCGGGTTGTATGGAAGTCCAGCAGAAAAGGCTCCCCGCATTGTTTCCGCAACTGTGAAACCCGAAACAAAAACTGATTACTAATTAAAACCACCCAATTTATAACGAGTACGCACATAGCCACACGTGTGTTTTGCTTGTCGAATGCCGGTCCGGCCCCTCCTGACAGTCAGACGCTAGACGGCTCCGCGGACAGGGATTAGAGGCCCAAGTCTGCACAAGGCTCTTTGGCGAATGGGAAAGCGATGCATTTTTTCTGCGGTTGTGGAGGTGTTGCTGAGGTGTGTGAGCTGCAGCTGTGAGGCTGAGCGCCCCCGCTGTCCGCGGGAATGGCACTCAGAAGCCCCAGGCGGGGAGGGACGGGAGCTGACAACCGACCGGCTTGCTCTGCCCGGCCCGCCGCGTCGCACGCGGAGAAGCCGGTGCTGGGGCTGGACGGCGCCGCGGGGCTCCAGGGGGCTTCTGAAAACAGGTGGGTGGCCCCTCTCCCACTTTCCTATTGCGGCGGGTCCGAGTCGGCCTCGCGTTGGGAACAGGTCCAGAGCGAGGCCGAGGCTCCTGGGCCGGGACCGCAATTGGAGGGTCCTTACTTTAAGATTCACTGATGGCCGTTCCCGCAGCCTCCCGCAGCCTCCCGCAGCCTCGGATGTGGCGGAGACCCACGGTTGGTTGGGAGGCGCTGGCATTAGCACCTGCAAGAGCTCACGCGCATCTCTCCACGCGCCCGTGTACACCTGCTGGGGCCGCCAGGCTCCCAGCTGCACTTACTTGGGGGAAAGTTCAGTCAACGAGATGACTTGGCTCCAGCTGCTTCTCCTTCTGGTGACCCGAACCGGCCCTTCAGGAGGACCAGGCGGGTGAGTCTCTGCCCGGACCCCTGCGCTCGTCGCTCCCCTCCCCTGCCCTCCCCTGCCCTCCCCTGCCCTCCCCTGCCCTCC